GGCTACAAGACAGTGTAGTACTTTATAAAATAAAATAAGTCTGGTTTGTAAGCGTCTCTCAGCTAGTGTTGGCCATTTCAACTGATTTAGCATGTTTGTGATACTGCTCGTGTAATCGTAGTTGTTGTGTACATAACGAGCAGCTCGTCCCTGTACCTTTTCTAATTTTATCTGTTGTTCTTTCATATGGGGGTCCCAGACACCACAACTATATTCCAGTTCAGGTCTTACTTGTGCCTGGCATGCTCTTAATTTTGTTTCTGTGTTTGTAACTTTTAAATTTCTTTTTTAAAAAACAAGTGATCTCTTCCCATTTGATACTATACTATCTATATGTTTGTTCCACCATGGAAGTATTATATTGACAGGAACTCCAACAAGCGGACTTCAAACGTTTATAGTGCGATGCCGCAAAATCGTTAAGTATCTGTTAATTAACTCGACTGTCTTATGGATGCATGGGTTCCGATAAAATTTTTGGAACCTCGTGAATGATCGTAATTTCGGAACATACCGAAATAACCGGATGTGTACTTAATTGTCAAGGAAATGACATTTACCGACCATGTGAATGACAAATATAATGTCAGTTTTTACGGGTTTTGCTGCTTAAAAACAAATAAAAAGAAAAGAAACGAAACGAAATTCCCGCGACTGTTTTCACCGATTAAAAAGAAAAAAAAAACAAAAAAACTGAAGAGTAAAAATACTCACAAGCCATAAACATTTCAGTTTAAATTACAATCAATTTTAAAATAGTAAGATTTATTCATGAGAGTGCCGTTGGCTAAACACGCGTAACTGTTATATACAAGTTAGGCTTAAAAATCATAAAATTCTCATGTAAAGTAAACGGAAAAGTTTTTATCAGTAATTATTATCGCGTTTTACTGCTAACTTTGACAAATATTTTACTGAAGTGTTTAATGAAAGAATTTCCAACAAAAATTTAATCCAAAAGTTGGCCGGGGGGGGACGGGGTTAAAGGGCTTTGATCCGAAAAAATATCAAATATTTTGATTTATTGTTTACTGAAAGTCCAATGGCAAATATTTCATGCAATTAAACAAGAAACAAAATCATAAATTGCTTAGCACACGGTGTAAGATGTTTCAGAACTGTTAAGCTTTTAAACACATAAATAAATTCTAATTTGGTTTCCATGATAAAAAAAAAATAAACTGCTTAGGGCCCATCATGGTGATCGTTCTTTAAATGCATCCACAAATATTTAAAGCCATCCGTAAAAATAAATCTGTCAGACGTCAGAGTAATCTCGGACTAGGTTGAATGTTTAAGGTTGTTTACAACTTTGGAATTATTATAAAAGGTGTAACAATTCATCTGCATGTCTCGTAACCTGATATTGCTATGTAGAGGTCATCACATGCGTGTAATTATTAACCTCTTTTAGTCTTTAAAACATATTTGATAAATAAGTTAATAACATTTTACGATATTTTACGATAGAGAAAACCATAAATATTTGTGTTACACTCGATAAAAGTTTACAATCTTTAACTTAAAATTTGAGTTATCCGGCACCATCCGGCACACTACACGCGCATCACATTATTTTTTGCAAACACTCTACTTCAGAATCATGTAATTTTCCTAATCGGATAATTCCCGATTTCCAAGTTCCAATGATTAAAACAAACTCAACAAAACTAAAAATAAGCTTGCCCTCTTTCCGAATGCAGTTAATTTTCTTATGTCATTCTGTTAAATATGGACCGATTTTTTCGATCTTTTCAGCTTTGTTCTTCATTTATTGAACGGAAACAGGTGTTGTTATTCATGTGGCGATTCACAAATAACCACAGGAGTTTCCGTGTTTATTTACATTGGTAGGTAGATAAGACAATCGATACCAAATCACGTGATAAGACCAGCTAAAGTTAAAAGAACAGGCGAAGGCGGCATCACAGATACCCCACAAAGGAGTTATCACGTACTTGACAAACTGAGTCGGAACCTTTTATTTTCTTAAAGAAATCAGTGGGATGGGAATGTGCTAATTTTTCGTTGGAGTTCCTGTCAATATAATACTTCCATGGTTCCACATACTAGATTGGATTGTAAGGTAATGCCAAGATATTTTGCAGATGTTACTAATTCGAGAATGTGATTGTGGAGGATGTAATTATGCCGGTAGTTATTTTTCTTTTGTGAGATAGTAAGGTTGGTACATTTATCAGGGTGAAATGCCATGAGCCAATCTAATACCCATCGTGCTGCTGAGTCTAGATTAAGTTGTATTTTATGACAATCATCTTGTGTTTTTATTTCCCTGTAAATTATGCTGTCATCTGCAAAGAGTCTAAGCTTGCTGTGTTATAAATATCAGGAAGATCATTTATATATATATATATGAGAAACAGTATTGGGCCCAATACTGTTCCTTGTGGTACACCAGATGTTACGGGTACCGAGGCGGAAGAAATGCCATTGATGACGACTGTTTGTTTGTGTTCTGTCATGTAAAAATGCCTGAATCCAATTAAGTGTGTTATTTTGAATACCATAGAATTGAGCTTGTAAAGGAAGCGACGATGTGAGACTTAGTCGAACGCTTTAGCGAACGGTCCATTATGATCAAGTCAGTTTGTGTGTTGGATAGTTAGTTAACATTGTCACAACCTTGAACTTGAAGTTTAAGGGTATAGACTAGTAAAGGGAAAAATATACATATTACGATGGAAACAGTCGGTGAATTATACTAAAATTCGTTATGTCGATGAAAAGGGACCTCAGTACTACTGGAAGTGTTTAACGACTTTGACTGGCTTCTCGGTCCTCGCACGGTCTGTAGAGACCTTAGTCAAGAGTTGAGAAAGAGAAATAGAATATTTATTTAAAATGTAGGCGAAATACCAGTAAGGGCAGATTATAAGAGCTAAATTTGTTCATTCCCTGAGCTTCAGATACCAAACGAAAACTTCAACGCGTTTTTTAGTCTTGAGAATGTTTACTGTTAGCTATACATACAGACATTCATGTGCAATAAAATAACTTTTAAACACGAATGTGCTATTAAATGACTTTTAATCTTTTAACAATAATGAAAGTTATGATTTTAACTATGCCATGTCAAACATACCGGTCCTAAACCCGGATAAAACAGGAGGAAAGTTTTAAGAAGCAAATATTGTAAAAGCGCACATGTCATTTTTTTTAAATTGCAAATGTCCTATAAATTGAAGCGGAAATGTCCTATGAAAACGCGTAAACGTCCTTCGCCAGTAAAATTGCGAAATAATATTTTCAGCAGGATTTAACAAATTATAGATTTTGACCCTGTGAATGAAATAGATACAGGTTAAATTGGCCCTACACTTAAGAATTTCACATACATGAATTGTTAAATTTAAAACACAACAGAAACGAAATTGAATTATAGGCATTTACTGTCACAGTTGTAATTAATCATTTGATTTAGGTATTATGATTAAATAAACTCAATCAGGGGTAATTATACATGATTTTATACGTACTTCACATTTCTTATCTTTTCATAATTATATAAGATATTCTAAAAGACCAACTTAGTGAAACGAATTACAATTAAGTAATGTGGTTATAATAATTGATAACATCATCTTCATAAAAGATTGTTCTGGATGCATAATGGTGGACTTTTGGATGGTAAAATAACATTAATTTTAGAACATTGGATAATATTTGTTTATGACCATATTGTTTGTTTTGACAGGCCAAGAAGAGAAAATGGTACTTGCGAAAACCTTCGTGATTTGTTATTATCATGGCGTCTTAGAATAATAGACCTTGATAATTGTCAAGACATTAAAGTCAGTAGACGCCCCGAAGCGCTATGGAAGCATTCAGTGAGATGTTTTAGAAGATCATCTTTCAATTTGAAAAAAATGTTAAAGGTACTTATTCTTTATTCGCCATGGCTTAGGGCTCAAATTGTATGGGTCAAGGTCCCGCCGAACTCCGGAGGTATCGATCCATGTTCAAGATACTTTGACTCTAGTCTCCATAGACAATATTGTATCTTTGTTATTTTACTATTCCGACATTTCAAGTCTGATATTTGTACCATTCAAGGTTTGATTTTGAAACAAATCGTGACATAAGATATCAGATGATCTTCGTATAAAAACATGAAAACTGTATGGTAATATCTAGATAATCTCTTTCCTTAACGGTAAATTCAAACAATTCAAAACGGAATTAAAAAGTTCATTCTGAAAAAATACTCAAAATATCTTGACAGTGTACTCAATTCACGAATGTGGAAATTTCACACAGAAACAAAGCGACAACGAATTAAATTAATGTGTTGGTCAGGCTTTCAGAATACATTGTATTAAACATTATATATATATTAATTATTAATCTTTTTCTACTTTTTACAGGTCGAGTTTATTAATGAATCTGGACTTGACGAAGGAGGATTAAGGAGAGATTTTTTAGAAATGCTTTTTCAACAAATGCTTTTATCACCACTTTTAGAAGGTATGTGCTTCCCTGATGACACAAATACATCATCAAAGTACATACAAGTACAGATGTGAATACTTTGCATCTATCTTAACTCATGATAGGCTAGTTTTAGAAGTGTATGTCTTTAGTCTGATTTGTAAGTTTATCGATCAAAGACGATTTACACAAGTTTTATCCACTTTGATTGCGATTTAGAATCGAAAGGATTAACGAATAGTATACGCCGTATTACTACTGTTTCCTACTTTTTTATAGCAATTATCAACTATAACACAAAAGATTTATATTCAAAACATTTACTTTCTACAATTGCTTGATGAACTTGTTTATAGCATTTTTCTGCAAAATACAATTTTAAAAAGTATTAAACATAGCATTGAAAATATAAAATAATCTTTTATTTCAGATAATGGCAATGGATATGAAGTATCCTATAATTTTGGTGCATTGTCGGACGACAGCTTAAATTTTGAACTTCTAGGGAAAATGTTGGCAACCATTCTTATTCAAGGAGGACCTGTCTTGCCAACATTTTCCCATACCATGATAGCATATGGCATTCAAGGGATGCAATGTGCTACAATAGAAACAGTCAAGGATACAAAGACAAAAACTATAATTGAAAATGTGAGAATCGATATTATACAAATATAGCCTTTGTATGAGGTCAATACAGGATATATCAGCCCAAAGAAGTAGTCCTCAGTCAATATACTTCTTTCAGGTCAATATATCCTTGTATCGACCTCATACAAAGGCTATATTTGTATAATATAACAATCAAATAGCGTATCGACTGACTAACAATATTTTGAAATATCAAAACAAATAACAGAAAAATCTACAATTCTCCTATGGACGCAACAAAACATTTAATAACATCACAATGAAAACTTTTGACCGCAAGCATCTTCTTGTTTTCATACTATTATCACTGATAAAGTATCATTGTTGAAGATAACAAATCGATATCTTTATTTTATAATAATAGTTCGAGTTATGTGTCAGATTTAGTTATGCCCACTATTTAAAAACGTATTATCTTATGATTTTAGTTGTCAAATAGTGTGAACTTGAGCATAATTGAAAAGTAATTTATTATTGAAATGCGCATTTGGCACAGTAGAATTGATACCGCTACTGTTATGAAGGAATGCATAAAATACATTTACCATATCAAAACAATAGTGAATGCTTACTAATCATGATTGGTTTTATAGTGAAAATGAAAAAAATAAGAATATGTGGTATGATTGCAGATGAGACAACTCACCACAAACGACCAAATGGCACAGAAAGTGTACAACTATAGGTCACTGTACGGTCTTCAACAGTAAGCAAAGAAGTCTGTAAGACATACATTTAAATACAAATGCTACAGAAACTTAACATTTTTATTAAGGGGCAAGCTGAAGCTCGCGCTGAGTCTGTATTGAAGACCCTATTGTGGCCTTCGACTGTTTTCTGCTCTTTGGTCGGGGTGTTGTCTCTTTGACACGTTCCCCATTTCCATTCTTAATTTCATTATCAATGATACATGTACTGTAAATGAGGTGATCGGCAGGTGAACGAAGCCAGATAATGATGTTCATCTTTACAGTCATTTCATTCATCCAATACAGTTTACCTGCTACTGATAGTCTTTGAAAAAGACATATTGTAGAAATCTTAACTTTGAACCATGAACATGAAATAAAGGTCACACGAATCCGCCTAGACGGACATGTACGAATTAAAATAATCCTTTACATTGAATATGGATGACCTTGTATTATCTGAGAAACAGATCAATTCACAATTATAAAGCTAGGACCAATGATTTATGAAAATGACTTTAACTACAAATCAAACATGCTAGATAGACATGTACATGTAACAATCATTCCATCCACCAAATATGTTTGACTCATTGTTGATAGTACTTAGCCTGGAACAATAAACATTGAATTATAAAGGTGAGGTCAAGGTCAGATGATACCTTTTAGACTAAAACTTTGGAACTTACCATTTATACCGTTATATTTCATAAATGATAGTAGCTTTTGACATATTTTTTTTCAGCTGATAAACAGTGACGACCTGACCAAACTAGCTGACGATGATGCCATAAACAACTTGATGACAGAGGCAGGGATTTCATTAAGATTAAATGAAAATACAAAAAATGGGATAATCAAAGGACTGATCATGCATGGCTCAACTGTTACCAAAAAACAAGCCATGTATGAACAGCTCTGGAAAGGAGCATACCATTTATCTTTGAGGACTTTATTAATTGAAAATCAAGGTATCATACTTTTATTTTTACTAAAATTAATGTGCTTAGAAAATATGACATTTTCCGTCGTCGTTAAATCGACACTGCTTTACGTGCAATCGTTGCAATTTCCGGCAATATCTTGATTTGATTGTATTTAGTTTAATACCATGATAAATTTCAATAATTTCAAATATGTTATTCTGGCTTCTCATTTTTTATATCGAGATCTTTTAAGGGCATACGATACAGTAGAGATCCCTCGTTGATTTTTTCTCGAAATTTTGGTAGAAGGTCAATTTCGATGTGTACTTTTGAAATATGCAAAGAAAAATATACCTTCATGACTTACTTCTCAGATAATTTGGTTCGAAATTTGCATATTTGAAGGGAAAACCCTGAAAGCTCATAAATAAGGACTTTTAAGGAAAGTTACAATACTTTTGAACGAACAGTCATAACTTTACCGGGTTTTTTTGTAAAATGTTCCCTTGATCCATGGCATCACCATGCTGTAACAAGTTTAAGGTTAAACCAAATTGTTATTTTCTGAATTTATATTACTATTAGTGAACTAAAGAAATTGACAATATTTTTGCGTCTATTCAGAAGTGCACAAAAAATTCGATCGTTGATTTTTTCTTCAAATTTTGGCTGAGCGTTCTTTAAACATTACTTGGTTGATTGCAAAAGAAAAAGCTGGGGGTCCATGTGCTTGTTTTTCCAATAAAAGCAATAAACCTTGATTTTTAATGGCAAACGGGACGTTTGCCAATAAGGCGCTAAACCACGTTGAAATAAGTTTTAATCGCAACAACGTCGTGAAATCATTCCCGCCGTTCACGATTACGCTATCAAGTTCAGTGGTATAGTCAAGGTTTTTTTTCGAAAGCCATGATATTAATCATCAAAATTTTCAAAGCTGGTTACTCGTAAAATAGCACAAAATATTTGCCAAACCTTTATGAATTGTTACGAAACTTGGATACAAAAAGTATTCTAGTAAATTACTTTAGAAAAGAAATGTTCGGAAACAAAAAAGATAAATCTAATAAAAAAAATTAATTTGCATCTCTGTCCGACATTAGTCCTACAATTCATGTAGACAACACAGCTTGAGCATAATTTTAATTATTCAAAAGGCCCCGACGTGACAAAATATGAAACAATTATAAAGTAAGTGGGATAATATAAAAACAAGGACAGTTGGTATGATTGTCAATGAGACAACTATCAACCATATAGTTCAAATTACGAAGATAAACACAATTAAGGGTCACCGTACGACCTTCAATAAAAACAAAAGCCACACCGTATAGTCAGCTTTAAAAAGCCCCGACATGAAAATGTGAACAATTCAAACAAGAAAACTAAAGGCCTACTCTATAGGCATTATATGAACGCAAAACCATATCCACATTAACTCGGGTCAGCTTAGAACTACTCTGAACATGTTTAAAAAGTGAATATTTAGAGCTGTTTCGAGCAAATTCATGTCGTAATTGTCTCAATATAGTCCATTATGGTGTAGTTAAACATTTCATAGGAAGTACAGCAGTCGGTATTAGAGCATGATTCTGTATCAATAGATAAGTCACCTAAGCTTGTCTTCAGGTTTTTTTTATTACGGTACATATAATTATTGACTTACTTGTCTGTACATGTATTATACCTCCAATCTAGGAGTGGGTGCAACCTTATTGTTTGTCCGTCCGTCCGGTGGTCCAACAAATATTTTGTTTCTTATCTGAGAAACTACCTTACAGAAAGACTTCATATTTGGTCAGCAGCTTAACAGCAATGAGTTGCAACGTGTGAACACTTATCTGGTCTGTCAGATACCTCATACTTCGATTTTCTCTCTCTCATAATATGTTCATAGGGATATGCTTAGCACATCAACGGGTGCGTTTTTGTTTTTTGTTTATCATACGGGGCTTATAACTATGTCTTTTTAACTGACAGTTCTTCTTCATACACATATATATTCCACTGGGTTAAACTCTTAAAATGTCGTTAAACTTATTAATGTACTTATTCAAAGTCAGGAACAGTATAGGCGTTTGTCTTTATTTATCATGTTATTTTGTCATTTTATTGATAGTCTCTGTTAAATTTATCTGTACAATTCTCCATACGATTTAGAGTTTGCCAAATGGTGTAGATATTATATATTGTTCAAGACTGTACGTTGATATCTAAATTACTTATTGGTCTTCTTGTGCAGTTGGGTTTCTGTCTCATCGACGTATTATTATTTACATATCTTTTATTCATTTCCTATATGAAATAAAACACATACAAAATTATGAATGTGGATTTGATTTTTTTCACATTTCAAGTTAATACTGTTAACTTCATTATTAATGAATGAATATAACAGTTCTCGTGATATGGCCGATTTTCTTATAGCAGGTACTTTTTTTCAAATTCGCGCAACCGGATTTATGACGTCAGTGGATTTTCCGCAAATGTGACTACATTTAAAGCGACGTCGCGAAATGCAATCGTTCTTAAAAGAAACATCGCGAAATTACAGCGTTCTGATTAACAACGTCGCGAAAACAACACTAAAAGTTTTGAAAACGTTATTATCTGCCCCTGCTACTGTATCGTATGCCCTTAGGTTTAGTAGTAAATAGTCAAAAAATATTTACCTTACTTGATTTAAAAAAAGATAAAACATGGCTTATTCTGGAATGAAGTTAAGAAATGTTAGTCCATTAAAATGGGGAAAAAGGGGGTAATGATAAAAATGTGAGCTTCTTGGTACACGTTAAAATAAGATACACATTTATATGTTAACTATATATAGGTCAGCTTGAGAAGATTCTATGCCACAAATGTGGATCTACTGAAACACTCCGTGCAGAAGCCCTTATGAAGCTGTTTGACATCACTAAATACGGCAGAAGAGGCAGTAACAATCGGAACAGGAGTGAGGAGGTGGCACAGAACTTTGAAAGTTTTGTTTATGATTGTGAAGGTAAATTGAAATAAGACACTACTTTGACAATTATTATCATTGACACGAGATATATGATATACATAAATGAGACAACAACGCAAGACAAAATACAAAAAAAAGAGGTAAACACACAGTAGGTCAAAGTCTGAATTGTTGAACTTAGAAAGTCTAGGACGAGCTAGAAAGTCGATGACGAGTTAAAAGAGACCATAAAAATTTTCAACGTTATCAACATCAATACAAAATTACCTAGAACTTTCTTTGTTGATAAATAAATTATCTCATTTCGTATCGGACCTCTTTGGAGTTTAGAATGATCACATGTTAAGCAATGTAAGAGAATATTGAATCAAAATGAATGGTTCTTTCCTGTTTTTTAAGTCATCACTAAAGTGGTTGTAAACAGTGATTGGAACCTCTTCAATGGAACCATTTAGATCTTAAAACTCACAATGAGATCTAGATTAAAACGATGACTCAAATGTGTAAAATGCAATTAATTATATAAATCAGGTCCATTTAGATATTGCTTTTCGCCGCATTTTCTTTTAGTGCAAACACTTTTTTTATGATTATTGTATTATTATCTTAATTACAGATGGTAAATGCTGCTATACTGATGGGAGGGTGACGATAGAAGATGTTCTAAAATTTGTAACAGGATGTAGTAATGTGCCACCTGGGGGTTTTGATGCCAGGTTTATTTTAGGATTTACAGAGGAAAAACGATACCCTAGTGTATCAACTTGCACTTTCGAAGTGACACTGCCATTGAACTTAACAGAATTCAAAATGTTTAAAGATGTCATGATAGAAGCAATTGTGTCTGGTCCGGGATTTGGTCAAGTTTAAAAAAAAATGGGAAATTATAAAAGCACGTCTGGATGACACCTTATACTGCATCTGAATGAGGGGGTACGCTGGTTTACTTTCGTCATTCCCGTCAAAGTAATCTATCTAACGTATTTCTTTCTCATAAAATAGTATCGGCATTTTTAGGATTTGCAAATGGAAGCTTCCTTAAATTTGGCAGCTGGCTTCATGTCGGCATGTTTTCTTTTTCATGTGATACGTTCTCACTTATGAATAAAATTATTCTTACACATAAAAATTATGCATGACATTTTTGTCGCTTTTTATAAGGAAATACAATACAGTTCAAAGCTTTCTTAAATTTTGACTGTAAGCTCCTTTTATTTCTTGCTAATGATACATTTGCTACCAACACTAAGTTAACAGTAAAAAATGCATGATTGACAAGGACATAGTACAGCTTACCGTTGATTTTTTTTTTAAATTTCTGTCTGTTTAGGAAGGTTCCCTACGGGTGACTACCATTAATCGTAATATCTATATGATTTGCAATGTTATATTTCAGCTTAAGTAAAAAAAAAAAAAAAAATATTTGAATTTAAAAGGTCAGGCACAGTTTTAAATACAACGTTAACCAATTCAGGCTTCAAATGGAAATAAATATAGAAGTATTGCCAGTTAAATGGGTCTGAAAACTAATTAAAATCATGTTGCCATTGAAGTACTACATTGACAATATAGTATTACCATGGTTTTATCTAAGCGTCATCCTCAATTATCTTTGTAAACCTAATGTGTAACATTTTATTACTCAACTTATATAATACTTTTTCCAACAGTTTGACTAGCTTTTTATTCATACAGACTCTAATCTTATTTTGCCATGCAAATGGCTTTTTATGAATAAATAGAATGCATATCAAATCCGAAATTATTATTTTTCAAATTATATATATATTTTTTTAATTACCTTTTCTATGATCTTCTATAATCTTACAATTCGAAATATATATTGTAAGAATTTGTTCGCCGCTAATGTTTTATTAGTTATAACTATGAATTTCTTGTTTCAATCAATAAAGGCTGAATTGTTGTTTTTAAAGATTTATTATACGTTCTTAACAGAAACATGACATTGGTAATAAGATATATCTGGTTCTTCATATAAAAAAGAAGATGTGGTATGATTGCCAATGAGACAACTGTCCACAAGAGACAAAAATGACACAGAAATTAAGAACTATAGGTCACCGTTCGGCCTTCAACAATGAGCAAAGCCCATACCGCATAGTCAGCTATAAAAGGCCCCGAAATGACAATGTAAAACAATTCAAACGAGAAAACTAACGGCCTTAGTTTTATTTATTTTTCATTTCGAGGCTATTTGGTATGGTTATATCCTTTGATGAAGGTCGTATGGTGGCCTATATTTGCTAACTAGTACTCGGTTAGGTAAGAGCAACCTAAAGAATTAAAATCTAACAAACAGTAGGTGCAGTTTTTGGTCGAAAGTTAATTATTTTCTGATTATTTTGTAGTGTATATACTAGTTAAGACATCATGCCACAGTAAATTTCCCCAAACGATTCTACCGATTAAAAGCTTGCTTGTACTTTTTTACTTTCATTTTCGTGACCGAGCACCGGTGTGACCTAGCAAAGAGTAGGTTACCTGTCTTAAAAAAAGTCGGTTATATGGAAATAGTCAATTATTTGCATTCAAATCTTGAGGTAAATGTGCTACGAAGTATATTTATAAATATTTTGTACAAAGTTCGAGGGCTTTTTTTAGTCGTAGGTGATTCCCGAGTCGTTATTTGTCTTCATCAAAGACGTAAATTGGCATACAAAAGTTCAAGTTATACATGAAAAATCCGGAATAAAATGGTTTTTATTAGGCTTAAATTAGCGGTTCAAATATTGGACAGCTGTTTGAATTCATCAACTAAGTTGATTCATATGGTTTTGCAATGGTGGTATTAAACTATCTAACCGACTCTTTCTTTACATTCGTATAATATTTTAGCAACAACGAAATCAATCCTGGATTGGTTAGGTTAGTCATCGATCTGGTGCAGGTATTTAAACATCTTCATATACAAAGTTGCAATCCAAGTTCATCTTCCATGAAACTTAAATAACTTTGTTTGAGCTGACACCGAAGAAATGAGTGGCTACCGATTTCATCATAGTACCAAGTACCAAATCCAAATAAATAAACAATTCAGCCAAATAAGGCACTTTTAATAACAACTTGTGGAATGTACAATCTGTAAAAATTAAATGATTGAATGGCTTTAAAGCTTCTTAAGTAAAATTAAAAGATGCAGAGGTCGAAGCCTGATCAGTTGGGGAAATTAGCGTAAAGACAGCTCTGAATTTTGATTGTGATTAGGTACTTGACACCGCATAGGTTTCTGTCACAGAATAAATGTGGTAAAAGAACTGAAAAAAATGAAATTGAGTTTTACCTATTGTCCTCCAATATATAAAATTTAAATACACGGTTTGATTCAGCATATCCAATTACACCTAGATTTAATTAATTTATGTAAAACTAACCCACCACGAAGTTGTTAAGATATTTCCAAAAAATTGTGAAAATTGAAAATCTAAGTACATGTTTATAAACCTACAATAACACAAGCTTTTGACATGACGAAAACCCTTAAGAAATCCCTCTCCTATATAGTCAGCATGTTGATTTTCAGATGTTTTCATTCATATGTCGATGTTTTATTTTTTTTGTCGTTATCTTTCCGACTTATGAGTTTTTATTGACCCTTTGATATCTTCCGCCTCCTTGTATACGACCACACAAATTTTAAGGTCGTATAATGTTATTAAATTGTGTTCGTCGTTGTCCGAAGACATTTGATTTCGAGCCAATATCTTGAGTATAAGTGTAACGATCTCGATGAAATTGTACCACAAGATTCTACATCATACATTGTAACAGGAAGGTCAGGATTTATTTTTTGGTGTTACTTGTACTGTCCCATCTTTTTAGGAATTAGGGGTCAAAACAGGTATTAAGCTTAATACAAAAATTTATGATAAAAGAGATGATTTTTCATTTCCTATCGTTAATTATCCATTTTTAGATGGTGATGTTCCCTTGTCACCATCTTATGGTGTTTATATATCTCAACTTGTACGATTCGCTCGTGTATGTAACAACGTATTAGATTTTAGCGAGAGAAATTTATATATTACTGAAAAATTATTACACCAGGGTTTTCGATATCATAAACTAGTCAAAACATTTACTAAATTTTATCATCGGTATAAGGACATCATTCGTAAATATAACTCAACATGCAGATATCTTATACGTTCGGGTATTTCACATCCAATCTTTTATGGTAATATTCTTTACAAAGCACAAAAATGTCAGTATTCACCTCAAAAGCTAACAAAACCTTTAAACAGACTTATTAAGAAGGGATATAGTTACGATACTGTTGTCAGGTCATTAAAAATTGCATATTTTGGCTTTAATATTGATTCACTTATAGGGTCTTTGCATCGGAATTAAACATATTTATTCTAAAACCAGTTGTTGGCATGACACGGGTTATGTTCTTCTCATATATTTTATGACGGTATAATACTAAACCCCTAACAGGAGGGATTGTGCCTGATATTCATATGACGAAGACATAATCTTTCAATCAGTTTAATTGAGGTCTAAAGCTGGCATGTCAGTAACTGCTAGTAGTCGTTATTTATGTATTATTGTCATTTTGTTTATTTTCTTTTGTTTCCTATTCTGACATCGGACTCGGACTTCTCTTAAACTGAGTTTTACTGTGCGTATGTTGTACGTTTGTTTTTTCTACATTGGCTAGAGGTATAGGGGGAGGGTTGAGATCTCAAAAAACATGTTTAACCCCGCCGCATTTTTGCGCCTGTCCCAAGTCAGGAGCCTCTGGCCTTTGTTAGTCTTGTATCATTTTTAATTTTAGTTTCTTGTGTATATATATATAATTTGGAGTTTAGTATGACGTCCATTATCACTGAACTAGTATACATATTTGTTTAGGGGCCTGCTGAAGGACGCCTCAGGGTGCGGGAGTTTCTCGCTGCGTTGAAGACCCATTGGTGGCCTTCGGCTGTTGTCTGCTCTATGGTCGGGTTGTTGTCTCTTTGACACATTCCCCATTTCCATTCTCAATTTTATTGTTCTTGTTGAAGTACAATAACTTGTTGATAAGTATATGGATCTCAATGAAATTGTACCACAAGGTCCCCTACCTCCAAGGAAATGTTTGGATTACTTTTGAGGATAATGGATCATATAATTTAGAAATATGGGGTCAGACAAAACAAGGATTTTACATGTTTCTGGACAATAACTTGACCATTAGTCCATGAATCTCTATGATATTGTATCACAAGGATTCATGCCAATTAAAGGAAGTTTGAGAATGATGATATGGTCCTAATCGTTTGCTTAAAAATAACCCACACGATACTGTTATAATACTTTGTATAAAATTCTTTAGCAATTTCAATATATAAGGTTTGATCCAAAATATTTGATATTCCTTAATCTAAACATGTACTTAGATTTTCAATTTTCACAATTTTTTGGAAATATCTTAACAACTTCGTGGTGGGTTAGTTTTACATAAATTAATTAAATCTAGGTGTAATTGGATATGCTGAATCAAACCGTGTATTTAAATTTTATATATTGGAGGACAATAGGTAAAACTCAATTTCATTTTTTTCAGTTCTTTTACCACATTTATTCTGTGACAGAAACCTATGCGGTGTCAAGTACCTAATCACAATCAAAATTCAGAGCTGTCTTTACGCTAATTTCCCCAACTGATCAGGCTTCGACCTCTGCATCTTTTAATTTTACTTAAGAAGCTTTAAAGCCATTCAATCATTTAATTTTTACAGATTGTACATTCCACAAGTTGTTATTAAAAGTGCCTTATTTGGCTGAATTGTTTATTTATTTGGATTTGGTACTTGGTACTATGATGAAATCGGTAGCCACTCATTTCTTCGGTGTCAGCTCAAACAAAGTTATTTAAGTTTCATGGAAGATGAACTTGGATTGCAACTTTGTATATGAAGATGTTTAAATACCTGCACCAGATCGATGACTAACCTAACCAATCCAGGATTGATTTCGTTGTTGCTAAAATATTATACGAATGTAAAGAAAGAGTCGGTTAGATAGTTTAATACCACCATTGCAAAACCATATGAATCAACTTAGTTGATGAATTCAAACAGCTGTCCAATATTTGAACCGCTAATTTAAGCCTAATAAAAACCATTTTATTCCGGATTTTTCATGTATAACTTGAACTTTTGTATGCCAATTTACGTCTTTGATGAAGACAAATAACGACTCGGGAATCACCTACGACTAAAAAAAGCCCTCGAACTTTGTACAAAATATTTATAAATATACTTCGTAGCACATTTACCTCAAGATTTGAATGCAAATAATTGACTATTTCCATATAACCGACTTTTTTTAAGACAGGTAACCTACTCTTTGCTAGGTCACACCGGTGCTCGGTCACGAAAATGAAAGTAAAAAAGTACAAGCAAGCTTTTAATCGGTAGAATCGTTTGGGGAAATTTACTGTGGCATGATGTCTTAACTAGTATATACACTACAAAATAATCAGAAAATAATTAACTTTCGACCAAAAACTGCACCTACTGTTTGTTAGATTTTAATTCTTTAGGTTGCTCTTACCTAACCGAGTACTAGTTAGCAAATATAGGCCACCATACGACCTTCATCAAAGGATATAACCATACCAAATAGCCTCGAAATGAAAAATAAATAAAACTAAGGCCGTTAGTTTTCTCGTTTGAATTGTTTTACATTGTCATTTCGGGGCCTTTTATAGCTGACTATGCGGTATGGGCTTTGCTCATTGTTGAAGGCCGAACGGTGACCTATAGTTCTTAATTTCTGTGTCATTTTTGTCTCTTGTGGACAGTTGTCTCATTGGCAATCATAC